AAAACTGTCGTATAACTTCGTATAATGTTTGCTATACGAAGGTATTATGCAATCAGGGGAAGCCACAAGTTATGAAGAGGGGTGATGACAGGGCGGGCAAAAACTGCTTAGTCACTGGGCCCTGGAAAAAAAGGACTTCTAGCTACGTGCATTAAAGCGCTTGTGAAACGGCGGCGGAGGCCTTACGCCAGCAAGATGGCCACCGCTTGATCTATTTTAGGGAACAGGAACCATACTTAGGCAGGCGCCTTATGATTTGATTGCGCCGCAACATGGCCCAACACCCCCCCACTCCCACCCCACCCCATAACACTAATTTTTCAAAGAGACTGGGTTAAATGTGTGTAAAATGCCCCGTCTTTTGAATTTTTCTGAGTGTCTCCTTTTAGTGCTATTTAATTTATGTATCCTCTGCATTACCATTTGCTGAGTATATAATACATGTAATAAGGCCCCTACCATTCCTTGATGCTTATTGTTTGGGGTGGGAGACACTGGCATGACCCTGCTCTGGGCACACAATATGGTGGAGGAATGTTCAGAATGTGGGGCAAACAGCAACTAATATTCAGGGCAGTGACATTTTAGCAGAGTCTTAGTAGAGAAGGTGCGGACAACATGTAGACAGGCATTGATACCTGACAGCAGTAATTCCAAAGTACTGTTGGCTGGGTGAACCTGGGAGGTGCCAGAGGACAATCCTTGAAGGCCGTTGGGAGCAGATTGTGAGGGGTCATGAACTCTGTGTTGAGATTAGAGATTAGATTTGGTCCTAGAGGCTTTGGGAAGCTACTATAGCAAATTCTTTTTGGATTATAATTTTTTTCTTCAGATTACATCTCTTTCCCATAAATTCATGTTTTGGTTTATTTTTTCCCAAGGGTGTGTATGTGTGTTTCAAAAGGATTTAAAGCTAAGAGTGGCATCAGAGTTGTGTTAGACAACTCTGGCCACTGGGTAAGGGATTAATTCGAAGGGGTAGATTGTCTGGACCAGAGAAGCAGGAGGATTGAGAAGAAAGCTCATGGACACAGGGACTTTCAGGAGGTAAAACCAACAGAAGAGGGGTCAGGTTCGGAGATTTGGGAAGGTGGCTAGATGGTGTTGTAACTGGCTCAGCAGTAGCCTCCCTTTTGTCTGTTCCTCCTCTCCATTGGCCTACCAGGGCGGATAGAAGCTGTCTCTTAGCCTTCCATGTTCTCATGTGGCTGATTTCTTAGCCACTGGTCATGGGTCCCAGGAAGGGACCCCAAGAAAAGTGGATGGGCCACAGACTTGGTGTGAGTGAGCATGCTACTGGACAGAGCAGGCCACCTCTTTTCAGCCTTTCCATCCTCCTTCCCTCTCCACCTCACAAACCTTGGTTAGGGCCATAAGGAGCCTTGTGAGTTGGTTATCAGTGCCCTTAGTGTTTGTGGAGTGAGTGGATCTGGTCCCCCAGATTGCTAACCAAGATGCCCCACAGCAGGTACTGCAACAGGGATAGTTCCAGTTGTCTTACTCTGTTGATCTTAGTTGAACAAGGGGTCCTTTGGTCCAGGCCTTTGCCTCCAGGTTGGTGTAAATGTCCACTGTCCAAGACGGTCAGCTCTTGAGGTGGTGAATTCTGTTATGGGCAGGCATGCCAGTCTCCTCTCTTACGTGGGCACTGACCTCCCCTCTTCTCTCATTGGTGTGGATATTTCTGTGGTGTGTGTGTGGTGTACATGAGTCATTCCCATCACATACCCGCAGGCCTTTCCTCACAGATGAGGACACTGCAGATCTATTACTATTGTGCCTTTTCCTGGCCAGGAGGGTGGGTTGGTGAGGAAAGCTTTGTACTCCACTCTTGTTTGGTGCCCCTTGTCTGCATTTGCTCTTGGCTTAGGGTTATGGTTGTGACCCAAGAACACAACAGGGTCCAATCCTCAAAGAGGCCTGAGTTTGTGTCCCATTTTGGTATCCTCACTAGGATCCCATTTCAGCTAAGTTCTCTGGCATCCTGTGCTGGCAGAGTCTTGGACTTTGTAGAGAGGGTTGCAGCATTATAAGGACCTGCCAGGGTTTTACCCAGGTTTGTCCAGTCTTATTTTCCATTTTGTTCTGAGGAGGAGGGGGCTCCCAGGGTCAGCATCTTGGTGCTGCCTGATATTGAGGCAGGCTTCCCTGCTGGTCCAGGAGACAAGCTGCAGATCAGCAGGGTGGTTGTAGGTCTGGACTTGACCCTGAGACCTGGCTGGTCATTGCCCAGGACTCAGGGCAGGAGGTGGGAGGTCTTATCTCTCACTGGCCTTCATTCTTCTTTCTCTCTATAGTTTGTCCTGAAGAATTATGGAGAGAACCCAGAAGCCTACAATGAGGAACTGAAGAAGCTGGAGTTGCTCAGACAGGTAGGAGGATATTATTTTTATGCAGGCATGAACAGGATTGGTTTGATAGGGAGATAAAGAAGTCACCTAGAATTGTGGTTTTATTTGAATTTAGTATTTTTCCCTCTGCAAAAACAGCAAAATTAATGTTAGAAAAATTTGAAAATACTGAAAAGCAAAAAAAAAAAAAAAAAATCACAACAACAAAAAGTCGTAAAAATCCTTTTCACAGTACCAGCCAGCTGCCAAAGAAAAAAAATCCTTTTCACAATTTTATGTATGTGTATATATAAAACCACAGTAGGATCATATACTATGTATACTTCTTTGTAGCCTGCTTTCTTCACTTAGTAACATTATGAACATGTTTGTGTGTCAGTGAACATATAACAGTAGTATTTTTAATGGCCTGTCATCATTATTTATTTATTTTTTTTATTAATATTAAATTTTTATTTTGTCGATATACAGTGTGGTTGATTATTATGTCCCATTACCAAAACCTCCCTCCCTCCCTCCCCCCT